TGAGCATGATGTTATATGGTCTGGAATATCCCTTTGGTTGTTTTTGGGCACCTGTCATGGCTGTGTCTCCTCCCAGTTTCCCATGCACCCTCAGCCTTCTCACCAGCGTGGCAGTACAAAAAGCAGAAAAGGCCTTGGCTCTGTATAAGCCCTGCTCAGCAATACCAAAAACATCTCTAGATTATCATCACTGTGTTCAGCACAAATCCAAAACACAGCCCCACTCCAACCACTGTGAAGAAAATTACCTCCACCCCAGCCAAAAGCAGCACACTGTTAGTGAGACACTGAGAACCCATCTTCTGCTGCACAAGACTCTGGGCATAAACAGGCTGCAAGGAAATATGTCATCTGCATGTTAGGGACCAGTTGCCCCATGGCACTTTCTCTCCTTCGTGCTGCTCTGATGGTGCCAAGCTACTGCAAACCTACTGTAATTGGCCAGTGTGCTATGGCTCACACTACCCCTTAAATGGAAAGTATTTTTTTACGACATGTGTTTTCAAAATTAAATTATTATTTGTTGCATTTCCTATGTAATATGGGAGGAGGTCTTTTGTTAGGTTTTTTGAGGTTGCTCTCACACCTAGAAAAATGGTATCAAAACGAAGATGAAGGTAGGTATTAGAAGGAAGAGACTACAAAAGTCAGACTATGTGTGAGCCTTGGCACTGATTTCTCCTTGTGAGCTACTCCCTATTTTGTAATTTTGCTTTAGCCAAGTGCAGCGATCTCACCGAGGTTCGTGCCTAAAAATAAGTGTGGGAAAATTCAGCATGCAAAATCATGAGGTGCTTCCCTAGTAGGGAGGGATCTTGGAGTGCTTTCCTAAATCAGGACTGCAGAGAAGATGATGATAAGGAAGAAGAAAACACAGAATGTGCAGTCTGTCGGGGTCTAATTCAGTGTAAATATCTAGCTATCATTAGCTGTTGAAGAAATTGGTGAGCCTGATTTGTGGGGATTTTATGATGGAAATGTGAGTTTAGTAGAGATGAGTTTTGCTAGATCTATAGCAGGAAACATGTGATGTTTATTTGTATCACTCCATGACATTTGTTTTTTACAGTTCACGTGTTTTTGTCATGACAATATTTCACATTGGGAGAAAAGGGTGAAAACCAAACAAGCCATATAATATTTGATCATGAAGTAAAGAAAACACTGTATATTTTGTGCAGAACTGGTAACAAGCCTGAAAAGCATGAAAATGTACCAATGAACTGGTCCAGACGACATGCATCTCTGAGAATAAGGTAATTCATTACAGAATGTAATGGCTCAGTGACAGTTGTTTATGGAAGTTCATGGAAATCTGAGAGAAAGATAGAAAGCAAATAGGACACAGATCTTCAGAAAAAGAAGAAGGAAACAGAAAAAAAGAGAAAAGACTCAGAATCACAGTCAATTACAATTCACTAAACCTAATTTTAAACCATCATAAAATAATAAAATTATCATTAAAGATCCACATCTACCTGGGGGATAGTGGAATAATGAGCAACTAACGAAGCAAACACCACAGTGCCAAGGTGGTATGTGTGACAAATCCTCCTGAAGAAAATTAATTGAGAGCCCAAAATCCTGGGTGAACACATTCAAATAATACAACTTAAAACTGTGATTTTTTTTCATGGGAGGAAGTGTTCTGGAAACCTACAAGGTTGCAATTTGGTTCTGTTACAGGTTTTCTGGTGTAAAACACCACACTGAATTTCAAGGCCTAAGGTCTGTCTGCCTCTTCAAGCAAAAATACCTGAACGCCCAGAGTGATGGATATGGAAAAGAATAGAAGTAGATTATAGAGTCTTACAAAATGATAGAGCGCCACAACAAATCAATGCACTTTGGGGTTGCTGGTGAAGGTAAGTTATATCCTCTGACTGCACAGAATAACTGCTCTTTATGTAATCACACCTGGGATATGGCATTAAATTGCAATACCTCATTATCCATCCTTACAAAACACGAAAGAATTCGAGGGAATTCAGATCCGAAGAAGAAAAATTATCGGACTCTTGGAAAGACTGATACACAAAGAGAGATTAAGTAGCTTAAATATATAGCTTATCTAATCAATAATTAAGCAAGGGAAGGATAATGGCTTAAAAATATGTAAGAGAAGGATAATTATTTTGCATGATGCATAGTCCCAATTCAACACAGTGCTAAAACACGTGTGCAGATCCATCAGCCCTGCGAAACACCAACGTACGTGATTTCAATGGAGCTTAAGCACATACCTAAATTTAAGCATGCATTGAAGTACTTTGATTAATTTGGGCCATAACCACAAGTAATGGTATGAAATTAAGAAATGCAAAAATGTAGGCTGAACAGCAGGAAAATCTTCCAAACGGTGAGATATATGAGGCTGGGGAGTAATCACTCAAGGGAATTGGTGGAAACCTTATCCCTGGACAGCTTTCAAGTTTTGCTGGACAAAGTACTGGGAAACTATCCTTTGGGGAATAATATTCCTGTTGTCTCTGGAGACAACTGCACGGCCTATTGTAACTATTCTGTGTCTAAGTTTTTGTGGGCTGACTCAGAGCATTATGCCTGAGACACAGTTTTAAAGAGCATCAATAGTGCAACATCTGAAGCTTTTCCTTGCCTCCCTCCACAATTTATCATTTTTTTCTCCCCATCTTCATTATATGTAATGTTATGAGAGGAAAAAACCCACCCCCACCACACTTTTAGCCTAGCAGTTTTTTGTCTTCTACTCACCGACTAAGCATTGATTTTATTCTCACCTCAGCATTAAAAGAAAGCTTAAAGATATATAGGAAATCTAATTTCAACTTGTAGGGCTTTGCTTCATTCCCAGAGCATATGTGGTGAATATTATCAGAGAGGTAATCGTATCTTGGAGAATCTCATATCTCTGAGCAACCCAAAGGAAGCAGTATTAAAGATGTGGGGGTTTTGGTGGTTTCTTTTGTTGGTTTGTGGTTTTTTGGTTGTCGTTTTTTGTTTCATTTATTTTTCCTCTATGCAGACCCTTGAAGAAGGGCTGTTCCAAAAAGGACTTTCCCAAGGATGGAGCCCTCTGAGGGCTTTTCCCACAGGAGATAACAATTTTGGTGAGCCAAATACGATGGCCTAAGGAAAAAGGCTTTTTAATTACTTTAAAATCTACTTTTTCTTAAAGTAAACATCTGTAGAAGAATGTGCATCATTCATTTGGACTTTCGGAGGTATTTTGCAGTCATGTGGGAAAGGACAGGTGTTCTCTCACATGACTTTGCAGAGATCTATTGGAAATGGAAACAGTTGAGATAGATCTGTTAAAACTTTTGGATTTCCCTTCCCTGACCACAGTTGACATTCTTCCTTTATTTTTGTAGTGTCAGTGAGATAAGCCCTGAATTTATTATTGGGAAAACAGCATTTATATTTATTGGTACTAATTTTCCACAGCACATCAATGCTGAATAGCAGTTCTTAACCTCAAAGGCACATTTCTGTGCCTAACTAGAAATTCAGTTAGGAACATATGTGAGCATCTTCCTGACTCATGGTCTGAGTTAACAAACAAGATTAATTAATTTCTTTATCCCATTGAAAAGGATGGTCTAGCAGGTCTCCATCACGGAGGATCCTTAAGAGTTTGTTAAGGAAAAAGCTAGGCAGGATAAAAGCTGGGAAGGATAACAAACTGAGTAGATCTTCCATTGGGCTTCACTCAGGCAATTAGAAAACTGCCCTTCCCTTCCCTTCCCTTCCCTTCCCTTCCCTT